TTTTACTGTAATGCCCAGTAGAAGTCGTCCCTCACCCTCTAAAACTTAAATACTTTGTAAGGAAAGACAAAATTTCTCATGAGACCAGTCCAAGGATGGGAAATGACCTGCTTAGGAAATTAAGAATCACCTGTCTTGGTGATCACAATTTCCCTGGAAAATACATCAAAGTAAAGGTCTTATGACCAAAATCAATTACTAGAAGACAGAACTTCAAAACAAAGATACTCCACTTGACTTGCTGCACCCTCTTAGAAGAAAGGATGGGAGTGTTATGACAATCATAAAATAACAGAACATACCCTGAAAGCTGCTCAGGTGTCCTGCTGGGAGGTGACATACACATATGTCCTACTCCATACACCTGGTATAAAACACTGAACAACTCATGGGCCTGATCATGAATTGTTCAGTATTTTATTTGTTGTTCAGTTGTTCAGTATTTTAATTGCATATTACAATTCCACAGTTACAGGGAATTAGGAAATACATTACATTTGCCACTGCTTCTTCACCGGATGGTGTATGTCCAACTCAGCAGGTCTTATGCAGTTCACAATTCATCTCAGAATCCATTATTCCCTTCCTGCAGAAGGACTGTGCTTTCCTAAGTGTTTACTTTAAAACTCAGATATTCAGCTGAGAATGAAGTGGGCCACGAAGAGCCCGTTCACTATGAACTGACGTCAGGCTTGACCAAAGAATAAGAATAGTGAGTATTACTTTCTTCTCCCACCTTTCTGTATCTAAGTAGCAGGTGGTGTGAAAAAGAGAAGAGAAGAAAGGCTGACCCTCTCTCACTTGACCCTGACACATGCAGGCACAGTTGTCATGTACAGGAGAGTTGCTGGTCTCCACTGCTCCCCAGAAATGGCAGAAAATTACTTCACTGAAGAAGTCCAAAGACAGATGTAACCTGCCACGCTCCTGCACAGAGCTTACAGGAAACCCACTGTCTCCAATAACCATGGATTTTATTCAGTTGTATGCTCAAAGGACTGTTTTGAAGGATTTTCTCAAACTATTTACATAAAGTCAATTAAACTGTCTTTTAAAATAAATAGTTCAAAAATGACACTTTCCAGCAAACCTTAATGATTTTGCAATATTAACTTCTCATGCTGCAGTGTATCCCAGAAGATTGGTTTGCCATAATTAAACACGGTGTATTTAATGTACTGCTGAGTGTGAGGGATAGGATGGGCACACTCCTCAGAGCTGCTGAAACATGAAGCACCCAAGGTCAAATGTTGACATTTAAGTTTTAACTGAGGAGTAGAAATGCCGGTGGAAAATGCATTATTTTCAGCACTGGCACAACAGCTGAAAATAGCTATGTTGTTGTCTCTTTAAAAAATATTTTGCTTATTTAAATGTGGAATCTCCAAGTCCATCATCGTTAAGTTTCCATTTGCACAGCATTCTGCCCAATGTTTCTAGTTCTTTTTAATGCACCTCCATATTGGGCTGAAACAAAGTTCTACAGGAGGGTCCAATTTTTTTCAATTATCTGCAGTATGATGCCAGATTTGTTATGTGCCACTTCATTTCATTTACTGCTATTTACTGTCCTCCAGCTGTCAGCATCAATGTTTATTTTCTACCTGCTTGCTGCCAAGCTGCATTTCTAGAGCTGTTATGCATCTACATTTCACCCACACTGCTCTTTTCATCATTATTTGTAGCACCATCTATAAACATGAAATCCAACCTTCAAATGTCAGGCAGTTATCCACAAAAGGGTACCCAAATCGCTAAATGCAGGGTTCTCCCCTCATCTCTTCAGAGATTTGATTTAGTTTGACACATCATGCAAATAATATCCAAATACACACTGAAATTAATGTGAAAAAGAAAACATTTACTCTGTTCCCTCAACCAGGCTTCAGCAGTAAACATGATTGTCACCAACATTATGTTGTTTTGTCCCTTGCTTTCCTCAAAGAGTTGAACTTGTAGTATTCCCAAAATAAACAACCACTCAACAACCTACAGTCATAATATTTACTTGTTTAACACTTTAAAACATCAGCATGCAATGCTTAGAATACTGAAAGCAATTCAGAACATTAAATAACAAATCACCGCTGCCTTCAAACAAAAAAAATAAAAATAAATCAGTTAAACATAATTTCTATGTATTCCATTACAAATTGCACACAGTCAACAGAGGTGAGAAAGCCTCATAGAGCTCAAATTTTGACTCCTACGTCTTTCACTGAGGCTTGAAATTTATCATGGATTAATTAAACATTAAAACAATCCAAGTGACCCAGGCCTTGAGTCTAATTCAAAAGAGACACATCTACTCTAAAACACCCTTGCCCTGGTGCACTGCACAGTTGTAAGGCTGGGGGCACTGGTGCCTGGAGAACACAGCAGGACAGAGCTGCACGGAGCATTTATGACAGGAACCGGCAGCATGGAGAAAAAGCAGACATGATTCTGGACAAACAAGGCCTCCCTCATGTGTGAAATCAACTCAAATGATATTTCACAATTGAAGGAAATATTTTTCTTCCCTTAATACTTGTCAACCTTTATTAAGACATGATTTTCATCAGCAGTGCTTGAATTGCATGTGTCTGACACATTAATTTATCTGTAAAGGTCAGAGCAACACCAGGCCCAGAGGAGGCCTGCCTAGCAAGGGGGATTTCTTGTACACAGGAGCACAAAAAACACAAGCAGACTATTTTATTTTGGAGTGCACGACTACAGGGAACAACAGAGCAGCTGCTGTGCAAGTTTTAGGAACACAATGCCATATCAACACAATTATATGTTAACTTCAATTCATATTTAAGAGATTGTGTCTATTTGACCCCAAGGTTGCATTGCTTCAGGAGTCTGCTATCCATGCAGCTTGGGAATATCTATGAGAACGGATGTAATATAGGAAAGAAAAAAAATAAGGACTGAAAAATGCAAGATAAAAATACAGGTCAAGGACCAAAAAAAATTAACCAGTGCATTTTTTTTTTCCTTGATCCTGTATTGGAAGTATCATCTCACTGTTTTGATATCATATACCTTTTAATGCTAGTATTACAGATTTTATAAATCTAGAGAAAGGTAATGTATATTTGAGTCAAAAATGAAATTCAACTATGAAATTAAACTATGCCTACTTCTTTCCCCTACTTTAAGATCTTTATTATTATTATTCCCATAGTAAACACTTCTTTCAAACATAAGATTGTTAGTTTGAGGTGTCCAGTATGATAAGAAGCTTTTTAATGCTAGTATTACAGATTTTATAAATCTAGAGAAAGGTAATATATGAGTCAAGAATGAAATCAGACTATGAAATTAAACTATGCATACTTTATTTTCCCCCTTACTTTAAGATCTTTATTATTATTCCCATGTAAACACTTCTTCCAAACATAAGATTGTCAGTTTGAAGTGTCCAGTATGGTAAGAAGCTTTTTTTGACACAATATATCAACAATAATCTGATATCTCTGTCACTTTAGTTTGAAGATGATCCTGTTAGAGTAATTTCTTCTTGGAAAAACAGTGACATTCTTACAACAAAGCTTGTGATCAATAGCTTCCAGTATGGTAAGAAGCTTTTTTTGACACAATATATCAACAATAATCTGATAGCTCAAATCTGCTGCAATATCTCTGTCACTTTAGTTTGAAGGTGATCCTGTTAGACTAATTTCATCTTGGAAAAGCAGTGACATTCTTACCACAAAGCTTGTGATGAACAGCATAATGTAGCCAATAGCCACATGAAGGTCAAATACAGGGAAAATTAAAAATATTCAGATGTGCTGCTAGCAATCCTGAAAACCCTGCAGATAGTTTACTCATTATACATCTGGAAGACTGCTCCTGTGAGGGCATACTAGACCTAGGTCCTATGAAAATTAATGTTCTAAAGCCTTTATAGGCCAATTGATAAGGTAAACTACAGAAACATAGTGAGAAATTTATTATAGACATCATAACAGATGCACATACTCATACTGTTAAGGAGTATAAATAGGGGGTTTACAGTACTTCTGTAATTTTGGCATTTCTACTCCCCAGAGCTCATCTTAATGTTTTAATTTTCTAACTTGAGAAGTTATATTAATAGTTTCTGTCTTGCTTCTGTATAGAGAAATTTGCTTCTGTAAAGAGAAGTTTGCCTGTAAAGAGAAGAACAATTTCTCATGTGGAAATACTGTATTTATCAATTTTGTTATTTATTTGAGCGTTTCTTCAGATTATTAATGTTGTCTATTATGTGCTTTTTATCTGAACTAAGATATTTTGTGACTGAAACAACAGATTAATCTTATGCTTTTCTTGGACAGCATTCTTTTTGTATTTATAATTTCCCTTTAGGAGTGGACATAGCTGATCATCATCATTAACTGTTGGGAGATCTTTATACAGAGAAGCACTTGCTTAGACAAAATGATTCTTAAAATGCCCAAAGCAATGTATCACCTCTAGGGTCCCTGCATTTGTTATCAGAACTGAGACAGGAGAGGGAAAAGAGAGCAGGGAAGGAACCATCCAGGGAAGTCTCAACCTTTACACATTTCTGACTCTTCTGTAACTTTACTAGATTTACAAACCAGCTGAAATTTCAGCTGAGTGCTGAAATTGCTCCCTAAGGCCCCATAAAGGTTGGCCAATATGTGCTCAAATTTAATAGCAGATATTGTCTCCTGTCACTGAGCAACCGAGATATTGCCCCACACATTCCCTCAGGTTTGCTGCCTGAAAAAAACTAAAAAACCCAGCAAAATAAAAAAAACCCCAGCAATAGAAACGGTGTCTTTTATAGTATAAGTGTCCTCCTAAAGGAAAAGTAAGAAACCAAACCAGAACATGCCAAAACGATGATTTATCTTGTACAGAAGCTGGAATTCCATGGTGCAAATAAAGCTTTCCTGTAGCATATTATATAAATTAAATAATATTTTAAACAGGAACCACCACCACCCAGAACCAAAGAAACAAAGCAAATTTTGTAAGTTGACTGGTCCCTCCACTGAACAGAGTGGTTTTGGTCTATAAGATATGACAAAGACATCTTACCACACATTACATGTTCTTCAGTCATTACACACATTTCCATTAATACTTCTTTTGACTTCTAGATTTGCTACCAAAATTTTCCAAGCTTGGGATTTTGCATGCAATCTTTCAATTTTGGAGCAAATATCTTGATGAGGGTGAAGATCCCTCAATTATATCCAAGTTTCAGGAAATGACAGACAAGATTGATTTGAAGACAAGATTGATTTCTCACAAATTTCTGTGGTGGCAAGACTGAAATGAAGATTTGAGGCCAGTCTCCCACATTTCATTTTCCTCTGGAAGTTATCCTTTTAAAGAAAAAATAGAATAGCCAATTACAAAGAGCAATACTTTTAGAAGAGTGTACTTTACCCCAAGTTCACCTCCACTGCTGTAATAAACCATGTAACATTTCACACCTTTCTGAGATGCAAATTCAGTCCTTGTACAGTTGTAGCCTCTATTTCAGTGTGTCAGAGGGCTGGCTCTGCTCTGCACAGTGAGGGGGTGTGTGCCATGTGCACTCCCAGGGATGTGGCACTCTGCCTGCTGGGGACCACAGGGGGCCCTGCAAATAAATGCACTGACACCTCAGTCAATCACATTACATGAAAGGGCTTATTCGAAACTTGAATACTCAAAAAAACTCCTCATCCATTTAGGGAAAAGACCAGAGTGAATTTGCAGATTCTGAAGCTGTAGAGAACCTATAGGAAGACTCTGATGTTCTGAGATACCTTCAGTTATCAGATATATAAATGTAAATAGCTCATTACATCTAAAGAGACCATAACAGATGAAATGCAGATCTTGTCAGAATAGTAACCAAAAAAATCCACAGGTCACTCCATCCAATAGGAAAATAAATAATAAGCACGTTAGTTTAGATGTAAACTAAAGACCAATATATTTGAGGGTGGGGGGGGGCACCCCTGAAAGTTGTGTGTGCTTCTGTGTAATAAAACCTGACTTTGAAGAGCTTTGAAGCTCCTCTCTTGCCAGCCTGCAGTGCTTTGATATAAACTGTGGAAAACTCAATAGCCACATATATTTGCATATGCACAACTCTATACTTCTCTGCAAGTGAATTTCTCCTGTAGAGCTCAACCCATACATTTTCTTCCACGCACAAATCAGATATATAACTAAAGAAAGATTTTTCCATTTCCTGTTCTCACAACAGATGACATGAGAAATTAGTTCCATGGCAGATGAGCACCCTGGCAGCACTTTGATTTGTCACAATAAATAAGACTCCTGTAGAGCCTAATGTATTAAGTAGATGTCAGCACTGACAAAAAGAGTTAAAGAGCTCCCTCCAGAACAGCAGTGAGTATTTGCATGTTTGGACCTTCTTCAAGCTTCTAAATGGGGATTTGAATCAATTAATGTTTTTTGGCAGAAGCATTCAGGTCATTATATGGTTGCTTTTAAAAGCTCTTTTAACTAGGGATGGTGAACAAGTATTAGGGTGTGTATGTTGACTTTAATATGCTTAGGATTGCATTGGAATGATTGGGAAAAAACATACCTTCCATCCACACAAAGTTTAACTGATTTCCCTCATTCTGACCTACCCCTTATCCCTTTTCCACTGTGTCTTTAATTTTGATTTAGTCACACATTGCAAAATGTTTGTATACCCTACAACATTGTTTTTGAAGTGAAAGATGGTTTTGGAATCCTTTGTCATCCTGACAAAGACTGCACTTGCAGGAGTTAACAGGTCACTACAGTCAGCCATCAAAAGTACGGTTCAAGAACTGAAATGCATCACCTGCTAAGTATTTCTCTGAAATTGCCAATATTTGTTTTATTGAATTACAGAGCCCTTTGAATTTGTCATTAAACTACATCCAAGAAAGGCAACTAACTGATAATTCTTCTGCAAATGCTTTCATAACAAAGTATTTGCATTTCTAGGGTTAGATCGCAACTGTCTATATTGAAATCAATCAGATTTAAATGAAAAAAGGACATTTTAAATGAATCTTAAAAGTGACACAGTATTAAGCAGCAGATCATCCAGAAAAACAAAGCTTCATCCTAAAGCCCACTGAAAGATTTGAAATGCTCAGATCTTTGAATCACTCTGGATTTGCAGAACTTCTTATATATGATATGATTAGTAGCTGATAATTAAGAAAAAGATATTTCAGGGCTCTTGCATTCCTTTTTTGTGTGAATGAATAGAAATAAGTACTGCTGCCTAATGCAGCTGCTTGTAACAGCAGCTTACTATTGTCACAGGCCATAAACCATAGTTAGGTAAAGTAAGGCAAGTCCTACCCAGAAACTGCTCTAATGAATCACAGAAATAATCAGAAGGGTAAAACTGATCAAATGTTTTTAAAAAAGGATTTCATTTGTAGGTAAATGTTCAGCTTTGTTGATGGGTAAGAATCTTCACGAGTGATTAGCAGCATGACTCTGTATGACATTGACTGAAAGGAAATTTACCATTATTAAACTGGGAAGTTCTCAAAAATGAAACAATCAAAACTTTTTTTTTTAATAAAATTTTTTCTTAGAAAAAAAAAACCACTGTTCTGATGAAATGCAGGACTTTTGTCTGATGAATTTGACTTTGAGGTCTTTGCAAATAAACTTATTTTCTTTTCCAACTCAACTCAGGTCTCTTTTTTTGCTTTGCTTTCCCCATCACCCCAGATGTTAAGCAAAATACAGCTCTGAATTTATGTACAGCTCTATTTCTACATAGATTTAATGCACTGAGTTTTATAATCATTTCACTTCCATGATTTCAGAAAATGCTCTAGGCATGGAAACGCTATGACAGCAAATGCAGTGAAAAAACAAAGTTAGGAAAACTGGTTTTCTAGCCATCATGTTAAAAGAGTTCTCAGACAACTGAAACAAGACAGCTGACATAAACTGATGGTGCTTTGCTGACTCCCAAGCCAGCTGTGTTGATTTGTACACACGGAGCTCCTGACCCACTGTTTCACCGGTCAATACAATTTTACAGCTATTTCTGCCATCCTGATGAGGCAAGTCTCCAGTCAAGTTACACTCCATTAAATGGATGCCATCCATACACAGCTAAACCAGGCCTTCACAATAAAATGGGAATAAACTTAACAGAGCAGATACCCACTGCATACTGAGGACTAATTGGGTTTGCATAAGCTCCAGTGGGACACAAAAAGAACATCTCTATAGTAACCACAGCCTTGCTGCTGGTTTTGCATTAAGCTGACACTACTTTTTGTCAGCTGGTGCAAACCAGGTCCCCAGTGCCAAGAGACTGGTACAAGTGCCACCTACTCTTTGCAATAGAGGTTTCCTAAAAGGCTGCATCTTTTTTAGCTTTACCTATATTGCCAAAGTTTTACCTGTGGGGAAAAAAAAAACAACAAACAATCCAGAAAAACATCAATGTATGATACAGAAAAGCTCATCGTGGTTATGGACTTCCTAAAGTTCAGCTGCCTCATGGCACCCAGCTCCATAAACCACCGTGCACATAGGCACATGCAGCCAGGACCATATGCATGCATCCAAGCAGGTGGGGATCAGTGTGGGTGTGTAGGCTTCCCTCAAAGCCCTGTAAGGCAGAAAAGCAGTACCCTCACTTTGCAATGGAAAAATGAAAGGTAGGACAGCTAAAGGACAGATTTCGTGGCCTTTTTTTTTGCTTATTTGAGATCTCCTCCCTGGCTGAGTTCAGTATTATAAAAATGAATACAGCTGATTTATCCTCAGCAAGCCAAACTCCTTGGCAGTGATAACAAGGTCTCCCAGTCAGGGTTTTCATGGAAAACCAGTTTTAGTCACTTCTGAGGCCAAAGAGAAGTTATTATAACTCCACAGAAAAGATGGTACACCAAGTTTCACCAGGAACGTCTGCAGTGTTCTAAACTATTGCAGCAGATATCACAGATTTAGCACCATTTTGCGAAGTTTTCCTTCTAATCAGTATCTCTTCTATCGCCAAAGAGAAGTTATTATAACTCCACAGAAAAGATGGTACACCAAGTTTCACCAGGAATGTTTGCAGTGTTCTAAACTATTTCAGCAGATTTCACAGATTTATCACCTTTTTGCAAAGTTTTCCTTCTAATACTGATTAGAAGGAAAGTATCTTTTCTCTTTGGGGAAATGAAAACTCACTCTGGAAACGGAGTCAATTAAAAAAGTATCTTTTTGCGTTCCTTCTAATCAGTATCTCTTCTATCTGGGGAAATGAAAACTCACTCTGGAAACGGAGTCAATAAAAAAAGTATCTTTTTATACCTTGTGATAAAAGGCAAGATTTACCCACTTTTCTGAAGAAAGTCACTAAACAAATCTCAGCAAAACTATTACCTAAAGTACTGGGAAACAAACTTTTTTAAAAAGGCTTCACAAATTATTTACAAGTGGCAAGAGCAATTCAAAAAACCACACATATATCAGTTAAATATGCCAAAGACCACCAAAATGAAGAGGAATACAATGCAAATATAAATGCAATAAGCATTTACATCCAATTTCATACCAAAAAAAGGCAGTGATTTGAGACTATATAAAGAAGAATTTAATTCAACAACGAAGAGGGAAGATAAAAATAGCTTAAAAAATCATTTACCAAACCTTTTTTTTAAATCTATCTGTAAATACTTTATAGGCACGTACTTCAAAAAGTTTCAAGTCACCAGTGGAAAAGATGTTAGTTCAAATGCATCAATATAACATTGGAAAACAAAGCATTTTCAATCCTAGAGAGAGGGGGACTATAAGCACTGCTGAAACAAATGACAATAATACTGTTTAGACAGGGCACATATAGATCTGGGCAAAGGCAAACTTATACTCGATTATCTACTTCTCAAAGTCCTACAATTATTTCAGAACCAGAGCTGGCTCAGATACACACATGGGAAATTTTGAAAATCTCAACTGAATGTCCTGACTTGGACTCCTCAGACAACATGATAACAACCAGAAGGAGAAGCCAGCTCATCTGGGCACTGTGCTGGACACCACCTGTACCTGCTCCCAACACCATGGCAGGTGCCAGCCAGGTGCAGCACAGCCTCAGGTGCTCAGGCCTCCCTGCAACCCCAGCCTGTTTAACATGAAAACTCTGCCTTGTGTAGTTTTCAGTCCTTTCTTCCATCCCAACTAAGAGAAGCACGCAGTGTCCCTCTTGTCTCATCTAATTACTACAACAAGGGTCTAGCGGCCTGTGCCACAGGAGCAAAGCCACAGGGACAGCATGTTGTATACACTTGTGTCTATATTAGCTTAATTAAGTTGCTGTGCACTGAAATCACAGGAACACCTCATGCAAGCTCCTCCTTTGGTTGATGAGCAAACAACAACATAGAAATCAACAAAAAAAGTACAAAATTCAGAAGCTAATGCCACCAAAAAAAGTGCAGGAACGTGCGAGGACTTTTTCCTCATTGCTAGAAATTTCACAACAGACTAAGAAGCAACAACATTACCTGTAACTGCTCTGAAGATTAAGAGGTGTCACAGCCCATGTCACAGCTGAGATGGCCACCAGACAATTCCAGGAGGCCTCAAGCACCAGCCCATACAGAGTACCACCATCCCACTTCAGAAGGCTTCAGGGCTCTGCCTTTCTTGGTTTTCAGCCCAGCCTTTTATCCCCTCACGTTGATGCACGGCACCTGTGTGCCCTGAGCTCCCTTTGGTGGTTGGTCAGTGCCCCCGGCACCCCATGGCTCTTTAGCTCCAATGTGATTCACCTGTCCTGCACAGCTGTGGCCCATTGGGATGAGGCTCAGTCACAGCCCCACCCCAACCACCACAAACTCTGTGCCTACAGAGAGTTGCCTAATTGAGTGAAGTCCTAGAAAACAAGTGCTTCCTGCACATACTGTTGTTTGTCTGTCTCTGTTGGGCAAGCCCTGCTGTGCCCTGGTGGGAAATGGGACTCAGGCTGGAAACCACGTGCAGAGAGAGAATTGTAGGTGATTCCAGTGTGCTGAGCAGAGATCACACACTGCTGGCCTTGCCACGTTATCGTTTTCTGTAGGGGAGTGGGGGAATAAAAAGCAAAAAAACCACGTTTGCTAGTAGCATTTGTATTGTAGTGAGACACGCTGAGCCTGTGTGGGGATATTTCTTACATGTGTTCAGCCACACTGGTGCTAATTTTAAACTGCAGTACATGGCAAACAGATGGAGAAGGGCAAGAGACATAAAAGTCTTTTGGTTCATGGATAACACAAATGTTCACGGGCAGGCATTTGAGCAAGGATGAGTTTTCTAAAAGAGGATTAAGACAACTCCAGAAATGGACGGGGAACAATCCAAGTAATAGCATGTTGTGAAAATGTAAGAACACCATTCATTCTGCACCGAATGAGAGAGGATTTTCCTGAGAGAAAAAATACAATCATATGATTAAGACAGCATGGAAAACATGTTCACAAGGATCAAATTAAGATTGCACTGATACAGTCTAATGTTTCAATGCTTATTCACACAAACATCATGCCATTTTTTATAAAAGTGGAAAGTGGAATAGTGAAATAAAGAGGATTGCAGAGAATAATTGCTGCACTTTTGTTGTGATGTGTATATATCCTGTGAATTTTTATGCATGGTTTAGTATTCCAAGAGAGGGTTATTTCTATGATATAATTGCATTCTTAAATATATAGATGAGGGAGAACTTTAGTAGATGTTCTAACTATTTGTATAAATGAGTCACAAAAGTTGTTAGAACATGAGCAAGGGCTAGGCATAGTTCATTCCAATATTATGTACTGCAAAAAGCAGCCCTACCTCCCCAATATACTCACAGTTCCCCAAAATTACATAAAAAAACTTGATTAGTTTTTATTTTTTGGTAATATTTATAATTTTGCTTCTCTTTTTTCTTATCTCTTCATCTGATAGAGAAAGGGAGAAATGGAGAATGAGCCAACAAACAAATAGTTTAAGTAAAAATTGTGTTTTGCTACAAGTTTTCAAAATAAAGTTAAACATTTTTACAATAAACTAAAAAATCCATGAATATTCATTATCAGAAAAACATAAAAAAGCTTGGCCAGTTCAAGTTATAACTGGTTTTCTTAAATAATGGTGCACAACAAACATGTCAAGTAACAGAGAACACTCTATTATTTATCACTCAGATGCTTTCACATCAGGGGATAGCAAGGCAGTGAGTTGTAGTAAAAATGGAGCTGTCAGAAAAAGTTCTGTCAGACCAGCCTGATTTCCTTTAATACTCTTTACTGGCCTGGAGACTTTGTGAATGGGGAAGAAGTAGAAGACAGACATTGTCACTTTTATCTGGTGTGTCCCAGAGGTCATTCTCATGAAAGAGATGGGTAAGCTTGGACTAGATTATAGCAGTGGGATGCACAAAGTGTGCAAGAGACTCTTTGAAAAGCAGTACAGTGAATACAGTGTCTTCTACATCCATGTGGATGCAAAAGGAAAAGTTCAGGTGAGATAACCAAAACCATCCTAAGAATTCTGCCTCTTGTGAAGTTTGTAGTCTCCACACACAAAAAAAGATTTGATGCATTCCTGTCAAGGACGCCAGAGGTTCTTCTAGTCCCATTCTGAGTAAAAGGGAGCTCCTAAGGTTCTCTCAGGCTAATTTTTTTGTAATATGCTTAGTGATGTTTTGAAAATTATACACGTGTTGTGATGACACATGAACTGAGGTGCAGTTGGATGATGACTTTCAGAGGTGGGTTTAAACCTACATGTGAAAACACATCAGAATTAGGCAAAATATGGATTTTTAAAAACGCATTTTAAAATGTGCCAAAATTTCAAATATCTGTTAAACAGAAAAGTTTAAAAGCATGATCGTGCTCTCTGATTTTGAAACTCTGTCCTCTGTTCAGGGGATCCTACACACGTAGGATTCAAAGCTTGCAGAGAACTTGTCGTTGTACTTCCCCCTCCCCAGGAAGCCAAAGCCCAGGGCCAAAGCTCCTGCTACCTGTAGAGCAGGATGAGAGGATGGATTCCAGCCAACAGAAGCAATAGTGGAGAATTTAATTTCACTGTGCTTCTACCATTCTTGCAAAAATTAATATGATCTTATATCACAGGAATGTTTTGTCAGAGAATGAATCAGGGGCAGGCTAATAGAAGGGGGAGCTTCTGTTTGTACACAGATATCTCAGTAATCAGAAGTGATGGGAAAGCAAATACAGAAACCTTCAGGACACCTAAATGGGAGTTGAAATATGATAGTTTCTTAAATTGTGGCTGACTCTGGCAGGGTATTTTTAAGCAGGATTTTAACCAATGTCTGAAAAAGTGCATATAAAGCAGCCTTGAGCTTTTAATTTAATTTATATCAACCAGCCTACCTGGAGTTTTCAAATTGATTTACCACCACTGTTTGAACACCCTGTGACAGGAGCAATGCATATTGAAGTAGTTACAGTTCTCCTTTCAGCATGCCTAATTAACTGTATTTCTGTCACAGGGAGTTGCAAAATATTGGAATATAAATGCATTCTGGATATCAGACATCAAATTTCAACAGTTGTGACTGGATAAAATTTGTGATTTGGCTATGATGCCATTGAGCATCTTCCTTTTTCATGATAGTATATTTAAGTGTCCTTCTTTTTCAATAAGGTCAATGGAATGATAAAAAGTTCTCAATTCTCATAAGTGTGAGTCATGTTTGCAACTCATAAGTTGCAGTCATGTTTGTGCTTAAATAAAAAAAAGATACCACAGTAGTTTTGGAAATACTGAGAGGATTCAGAAACATCAAATCAGTAATGCCATCAGGAAAATTCAGGTTTCAGATAACAGCTGAGTGGTGAATACAGAAAATAATCTCAGCAAATATTATGTATGAGATTGTTGCTTGAGCATTTTGGAAAAATAAACATATTTATAACAATCTGGAAATCACCTGCATGGGAGCTAAGCATTCAGAATAACACACTTGCTCTGAATAATTTATCCCATTCCAATATTTACTCTTACATACTCTAGAATTGAATTACTAATATGTAAGCAGCCATAATTGGAAGAGTATTAAAATTCTATTTTCTACCACAGGTTTCTCTATGACCTTGAGCAAGTTGTACAGATTTTTTTTGTCCTTTTGTCCTGCTTTCCAAATTCAGCAATGATGGAACTGACAGAATTGTGAGGATTAAAATTTTCTGAAGGATACAAGTAATGTTGCAGCAACATGGGCACCTAAGAAACCTGTACAGAGCCCTTTGGAGAGAGGACTGGCAGGACAGAAACTTGCACCCTGGGGTTGCTGTTTAGGTGTAGATAAGCAGGATAGTGCTGAACCATGATCAGTGGTTGCAACCTTGTGTTTCCTCTTGCATTTCAGCCTTTATTTTAACCTGTTGTAGCTGTGAAGTTTCTTCAAGAAAAGAGAGACAAGATTGTAATCCTTGAGGCCTCTGTATCTCAAAAGGGTCACTTAGTTTATCTGAGAAAAAAAATGCATCTGAAAATCATGACAGAAGTAACAGAATACCCACAGGCTGCAAATAAGGTTAGCCCCACTTAAAACAGCACTAGCAGGAAGAGTTAAACCAGCACACTTCCCATTTTGTCTCTTCCTGCACACTTCACTTGGGCTACAAGGAAATCAGAGCTGTGACAGATCATTTATATTAATACAATGCACCTGCCAAATTATTTATACACCATAAGCATCAGTCTGGAGAAAATGCACTCTGGGAACTTCATTGGTAGAGAAGAAAGGCTTCACTGGGAGGAAGGCATGTTAAAATAGTGCAGGATTTTGATCTCAGATATACTCTGGTAAATAGAGAGTGATGCCACTGAAGCCTGTAGACTTAGTTTGGCTTCACACCAATGAATGTGATTGACAGGAGAAAAAGTGTAAAATTGCAGCATAAGGTGATAAGTCACTGACAAGAAAATTGGAAAGAGAAATACAAGTTAGTGTTGGATTGATCTACTATTCTGTGTTTCTTCTGGAATAACTGAGCATCCCTACCAGGCTTCTTTGACTGTAATCAGTTATTTTCTAATCTCTAGGTATACATTAAATTAGTGAGTTCTCATGAAGTTAGAAAAGCAAAATAAAATCTATAGTTTAAAAGAACATGTTTTCACAAGCACTAAAGAAACAGAAATATTTGGTAAACACTGATTGGTTCCTCTAAAAATTAGTTTTATTATTAAATTGCTTTCATATAATGTGCCTTGCTTTAGAGGGAGTTCAGATACCCAAATGTCAACCCCTACTAGTAAAGGGCTTCAGATCTGCTCCATACAAGGTCCTTCAAAATTTATATCTTAATCTCAGCTATTTTGAAATTTAGTGTGCTCATATTTGGTTCCTGAAAGGGAGAGGTTTTCAGCTCTGACACAAAGAGGGATTTAGGGGAAGCTGTATGTTTTATTCAGCATAGAACATTTAATTTACTGTGTTTGATCTCTAGGTCATTAAAGTTTATTGAACATTTTTTTCAGCTGATTGCACTGACTTCAGCTCAGGCCCCATTACCCATGATTTCACAGGATCACATGCTAATGCATGACCCGGTTTCTTTGCTCATAAATCAACCTGCACATGTAATTGCCAGTCAGCATTATTCCTTTAGATTCCTTCCTTTGAGAT